TGTATGTAGTGTCATCCCAAATGGAGCACAAATGTTTTTTACTAAGCGGAAATTCAAACCATTTCCCTGATGACGTTTGACGGTTGCCAAATCAGTGAAATAAATGACCAAACTATCAAATAATACCTGCCATGAGTGTAACCGCATTCACCATCGGGTGGTGCTATAATCACTCTCGTAGGAGAATTTTGCTTTCACCCTCCAAAATAAATAAAGTTATCCGAAAGCTCTGCCCCTTCTGCTACATGAGTGCGTGAAGTGTCCATCATTACACATTTGTGCATCATCCAGGTAAATAAAGTGAACTTCATATTTTTAGAGGTTTCAGTATTACCCCAATACTTACACACTATTTAAACTAAAAAATGGCTAAGAACAGTGCACAAGTATGCAATTTGGGACGCAGCTAAAGTTTTAGTTGGTTAATGGCTTGGTCTATTTCAGTTCCTCAATAAAGCAACACGGCAACAATGCGGCTTAACACACCTCCTTTTTAGACCTTTTTAGGGGTGTAGCAGAATGTAATTTTAAGACTTGGTTGTGTTTATAAGATGCAAAGCAATGTGTGCTCATGTTTCACTTGAAGGAAATCATGGTATTTTTTCATATATCTCACTTTGATTATTTACAGCTACTCTGCTGACATGAAAACGACTAATATATTTCCTAGTTCCTCTGAAAGGCCCGCCTTCAAGTGACTCTGATTGGTCATCGTCATAATGTGCTGCGATTCGTGGATCGGCTCCACGTCACGCCCGTACAAGCACAAGCTTTTCTGCTGTGTAAACAGTCAGACAACCTCCTGCCTGCTCTCTAAAATAAAATCTGACATGTGTCTGTACCGTGTAAAAATGGGGTGCGGCTCCTTTAAGAGAGATCCCCAGTGTGTGTCTATGTTTGTGTGTGAATGTGTAAACTTTCTGTAACAAGCGCATATACGCAGGAATTTCTTTTTCTTTTTCTCTGATGCTCGGATTAAGTTATTTTCTGTAATATATCGTGACAGAATAAAGCCCAAGATGTGGGATGTGACCTGTTTGAGCCTTGATTTATTTTTCTGCTGCTACACGAGTTAGGTGAGCTCTCCTGTATTTTTTTTTTAACTTGACGCGATGTTACACGACGTCTTTCATATATATCCGGAATATGCAGGTGTAAGTAATATGAATCATTCACATATCTTTTGCGACTTCATTATCTGAGATGTAAAATGCATGGAACAACTGCCTAAAGAGAATCAATGCAGTCGCGCACACACATAGAGAGATGATGCATGTGCTGGGGAAATGTGTGTGTGTGTTTACACCAGTTTGACTGATAAATATGAATTTGTAGCTAAATCGTTTGCGTTGCAAAACAGCGTGTCCTGTTGTTTACATCTTTGCTGAAGCATAACGTTAACGCTAGACACTGTACATGTCATGATCAATTTTAACAAATAAAAACACTTACAGGTTGTAGTTCACAGCTTCTGCTTTGAGGAGATTTTAACCAAATCCAGCACTGAACTGGGAGAGATTCTGGAGCTGTTTTGTCAAATCATGCTTCCTATGTATTTTATAATTCTCTGGAACATAATTAATAATAAACTGTAAGCACTTCTGTCTTTGTGTCGTGTCCTTTAGAAGCCCAAATACAGAAACAGACGAAGCTCTGTGGAAACAGCAGTGTTTGGACGCATTTTACCTCTATCTCTGCTATAATGTTACATCGCCTCTGGCCATTGCCCTTAGCTGCGCAGTGTATGTGCGCAGTAAAAGAACCTTTGTGATCTCACAAGGGCCTGTATATTTTGTAGTCCCCAAAATTCGTTCATTGTAGGCTTTGCTAAGCTAACTCTGTATAACCAAGGTCTCCCTTTGCATTGAACTTTGAGCTTTTTACATTCAGAGATGTTGTTTATGTTTACACAACTACATTACACATTAGCTAAAGTTTAAAATATGATATCGTAGTGGACCACTCCTTTAAACAATGTGGCGCAAAATGTGAAAATTAGGGTTTCGCTGATCTGAAAATAGCAACAAATCGCTCCAAACACGTCTTGCGCCTTATTGAGCTGGTGTATGATAGGACCCTAAAACAAAAAATATAAAACTAAAATATCTATTACTTCTACATTATGCACTGTATTAATATTTTCTAAATTTCATGAATTTACTTACAAAATGTACACATTTACATTATTATTACAGTATTACAGTATTATATTTTTAAAATGTTTTTACTTAATGGCATTGTTTCATTTTAATTGCTTATATTTATATTATGTTAAGGCCCAATCCCAATTCTAGTTTTGTACTCTTACCCCTTTTCCTTCCGCTTCTCCTTGGCCCTTGAAACAGATTGTGAAGCAGAAGGGCTTCAAAATTTACGCCTACAAAATGGGACAGCACTACAACACCTGCACACGTCATGTGTCATCGCGATCTCTTGCTTCATATGAGATCAGACGATGGTGAGGATGGGTATTCGAGTGTCATCAAGAGACAGAATGTTGTGGGACTGCTGTACAGGAGTTATTATTATGGATTACAAATATTTTGTGGTTTTTATTTTAGCGTGTTTTTTAAAGCATCACAGTAAAACACAAACGTGGTTATGAATATATTAAAACATAAGCTTGTTTGTTGTAAAAATTCAAATTAATGACAAAAAATACTAATTTGTGCTGCCGCTGTAGCTGGTGTATTCTGCTGGTGTAAAGCTATATAGCTGGTGTTTCCCCTTACGCCTTCAAGCTAAAGAGAATTGGGACACCCTTACCCTTTCACGTGAACTTGCAAAACAAGAGCTAGGGGTAAGGGGAAGGGCTAAGGAGTGAAGCTGGGATTTGGCCTAAACATAATTTCATTTAAACAGTCTAGTTCAGAGCTGAAATCATGAAAATGAAGGGAATATGGTCGTCTGGATGTATAGGAGTTTTTTCCATATGTACTGTGTGTAATTGTGTGTCTGTCTGGGTCAGGTAAAATCATCAGCTCTTTATAAAGCTTAGCAGGAGTCAGGCATGATAAGTTTAATGGCAGCTGTACTTGTTAAACGTCTGACTTCATGCCCTCTGACCATGAGCAGAACTGGTCTGTCGCATGTCTTGAGATGGTTAATACATCTTGCTGAACCAAAGCTCTTAATGAGCTTACCGAGAATTCTTTCTACTAAGAATCTGTCAGATCATTTCTCTCTGTGTGGATTTTGCTTACATATATATGCAGTAGTGTGTGTAATGTAACATTCAGCTTACAGACAGACCTTCTCAGGGATGGATATTCAGGTTTTATGACTGTGTAAAAGATGTGAATACACTATCCATTCTGCCACCTGGTTTACAGATGTGGAGACATCACCACGGCAACCAATTATGATAATCATAACTCCTCATAAGTCCGCATAGAAAAGTATATTAGCTCATGTATCTGAAACACATGTGGTCTGTCTGAAATCACATACTTCCCTACTATATAATATGTGAAAAGCAGCATGTGAGCCAATTGGAATGTCTGAATTCACAGTAATTGAAAAATAGTAGGTGAGAAGTATCCAGATGACCTACTACTTCCAATGAGCAACCCAGACTCATTCTGAAAATGTAGCCCTATATACATTTCTGGAGAGTGCCAAATACGTCCCAGGACGTACATTTTTTGTTGTTTTTGTTTACGCACATATACCAGAGCCCGCTATGTACGCTTTTTGAGATCTTAAATTTGTCTCGCGAGTGCCATTCACGCCTGCTCTTCTCAAGTAAATGCACCAGAGGCCGCTGTCGACTGACTAACTGAAAGACTGACTGACTGACCGATCGACTGAACCACCCTCCTACTTCCCTAAACCCAACCAATAGTGTTTTAAAAATCACCAACTGACCAGCACTCACCCACTTCCTTAAATCCAAAAGCAATCTAGAAAAAGAAAAGCCCTCGCCTAATTTTTACCATGTTTTCAGATTTTACCTAATTCTCACCCTGTTATTTCCTTGTTTATTTTACTTTTTGGCTTCTATTTTTGTCTTAACCACTTTCTGGAACCGTTCTTCGCTAGACTGGAACCCCTTCAAACTACTCTCTGCGCCTCAAGCCTGCCGACATACATAGCAAGCCACTGGACAAAATTGTAACAGAGGAAAAGTCGTCCATATGGAGTTAAGGGACTATCAGTCAGCTGCTAGTGCGAAAAGGAATGGCATCGTACCACCTCGTAGCCTTCATTTTAAAGACGAAATGCAGCCATTTATACTTCTGGCTACATAATTTGCGATCTACAAAAATGTTTATAGGGCTATGTTTTCAGTATGAGCCTATATTGCAAGTGAGATTCTGTATAGTTAAATAAAATATTTTTATTATATTCTCAAGTAAAAAAAAACATATTAAGTATTATTCAACCTGACAAATTTGCCAATTCCTTTACATCATTATATATATGAATTGACATTGTATGTTAGTGTGACTGTAACTAATTAAGACTTTCAGTGGTAATACTGTACATCAATATGTTTATTACATTGTTATATGTCATAAATATACTGATGATGCCCATCGAAATAAGATTTTAAAAACTGAAACATTCATTTTCATGATAATTGAAATCAAATTACCTAAATAACATTCTCAAAGCTGTTATATTAACTCTTTTAAATGTTAGTTTTAGTTCTTATAATAATATCAAATACCGAAATACAAGTAAGTCTAATGTCAACTCTGTTCCTATAATAACTATTTAATGTCATAGTTATATCAAATATATTATCTTTACCTAGTCGGATAAAACTCTTTAGATGTAAAGATCAGAATCAACATGTTTTAAGAGTTAAAACAAAAGAAAGAATCATTTTCCACAAATTTTAAACAGTATCTGGTCATAGGTCATTCTTGTCAGATTTATGGCTGTGAGATGCACAATGTTTCCCTCAGTGTTTGGATTGTTTCTGTTTCTCTAAGGGGGGAATGTGTAAGGCTTTGTTAAAGTGTGTATGTTTGTGTTTGTGTCAGAGCTCTTACTGTTGGGTACTCCATGTCTGGAGCATTGGGGGCTGCACACAATGGCTACATCCTGTCTGTGAGTGCAGTCATGTTTAAACCAACCCCTCCGGCTGCAGTGTGTGACCGTGGGCTCTTTTCCAGTACAGCGCACATCATCCAGAAGAACAGGACCTGCCGCTATCCCAAACCGCCCTGCTGATACACTCTCCCCTGACCTGTATCAACACAACACAATTAACAAAACCAATAATAAGCACATGATCTATTGAAAATTAATCTACAGATTAGAGTTTCAAACTGTTGAAAAATGTGTATTCTTGTGTCCACATTGTAAAAAGGTAAGTTAATTTCATTAATGAAAATGGCTCAAAAACAAAACAAAAGCTTAAAAGATCTGATACTCCAGTAACATAAATGGATGCTCATCTAATGAGTGAACAGCAAAATTTAGTTGATTATACCAAATATTATTGTTCATTAATTAAGTTTTATTAATTAGTTTCTCAAAGTCTGCACAGGAAGTTTGGCCATAGGAGAAATGGTCATGCCCAACTGAGCCTGGCTTCTCTCGAGGTTTTTTTCCTTCACTTTTGTCAATTGGTCAAGTCTGCTCCTCGCCACTGTCGCCACTGGCTTGCTTGGTTGGGACTTGTGGAGCTGCACATCGATAGATTTGCTCTTCAGTGTTTGAATTTTCAGCAGTAAAAATGAAACCACACTGAACTGAACTTAACTGAGCTTCAACTCTGAAAACTGGACTAACACAGTTTTACTTTATTAGAACCTTTATGTTAAGCTACTTTGACACAATCTACATTGTAAAGGCGCTTTAGAAATAAACAAGAATTGAATAAAACTAAGTTTTTTTCCTACTGTTTGTTTCTGACCTTATTCAGAAGTATTAAAAGCAAAGCAATCCAAGAGATTTTTTTTGTCTGTGCATTACCTGAAACCCAGCTGCCTGCAGACGACCTGTGTGTTAGTCTGTGTCCAGCCATCATCACACACAGTCCCCCACTGTCCTCTGTAATGGACCTCCAGTCTCCCTTCATAACCCTTTACACCCCCAACCAGACGCACTGCACCGTCTGAGGAAGAGAAACGAAATCTGTTTACACATGGTATACATCAGCGGACTACAGAGGTCATTTAAACACTGCCATTCAGTCACTTGCCTATACATGACATGAACTTCACATGCGATCGTGTTGCGTTAAAAACTAAATAGAACAGGGTCTATCGACAGTAAATATCATATACAAATGCACAATCAGTTTCTGATGTTCTCTGTGCACTTATGTCTGCTGATAAACAGACCAAATTGAAGAGAAAAAAGATGTTTTGAGTTAACATGTCAGGTTCTAACAGTCAGGAACAACATCAGAAACAAGTGAACAGTTTTTTTTTTTTTTTCAATAACATGCTGGATCACATGAGAATAAAATATTAGTTTAAAGATATTTAACTGCAGATTGTTTTGAAAATGACCCACACGTAAAAAAAACTATGTTTCAGAAAGAATGAGAACAGAAAATATTAACTTCTCCATATAGATATATATGTGTATACTGTACACATTTGTTTCATTTTTCTTTTCTTTGTGTGTACCATTTTCACATCATTTTTAACTTAAGAAACTTATTAAAAATATTTTTTAAAAAGTTATGATATTGACATTTAGATGTATTTCACTTTACTATAAGTGCTTGTCGGTGTATTTAGAAATATATCACAATATACTATATGACAATAAATCTGATTGTGAAATGGCTTCTACTCAAGTCCTTAAAACAATATACTTAATATTAAGTACATTAAAACAAATAATACTTAAGCACACTTAAGTATAAAGCATTACCTAATAAAGCGTTAATTCTTCCAAACTATACAGCATCATGTCAGCAAAAAGCACGTCAACAAACACTGTTAGTGTTTTCATTAACAGAACAGAATGGAATTGGACATTTTTTTAATTGAACAAATTTCCCTCTGCTCCTAAACCTACACATACATTTACTGTCAGAATAATAAGTCTGCCTTTAATTTTTTTTTTCTTTTTTAAATATTTTCCAAATATTGCTTAACAGAGCAAATTTTCACAGCATGTCTTGTAATATTTTAATTCTAATAATATTTTTTCTTCTGGAGAAAGTCTTATTTGTTTTAGTTCGGCTAGATTAAAAGCAGTTTTAGATTTTTTAAACACCATTTTAGGGACAAAATTATTATCCCCTTTAAGCTTTATATCTTTTCGATAGTCTACAGAACAAACCATCGCTATACAATAACTTGTCTAATTACCCTAACCTGCCTAGTTAACCTAATTAACCTAGTTAAGCCTTTAAATGTCACTTTAAGCTGTATAGAAGTGTCTTTTATTATGTATGTTATCTACTGCCATCATTTCAAAGAAAGGAGGTTTTAAAACTATTATGTTTAGAAATGTATTGAAAAAATCTGCTCTCCGTTAAACAGAAATTGGGGAAAAAAATAAACAGGGGGGCTAATAATTCAGGGTGCTCCAACTGTAAATCATATAATGATCCAGAAGTGTGTTTATACCTGTAAGTGGTACACAGGACACTCCAGCATCCTCTGTGTGGTCACAGTTATGCTCCCCCCAGGCAGTTTTTGGACACTGCTCTATTGAAAGCTCATTTCCGGTGCAGCTCACCTCATCCAAAAACACACGCCCAGAGCCTGCGCCGAAATACGCTCCCACCCAAGCCTTCGCAATGCCACTGTACACATAAATCACAAAATAATACAAAACACCAGCACGCTCATTATGAAATTCAAATCACTGATATTCCTCAAAGAATGCAAAACAATGAAATAATTCAGCTAAAGGTTAAAGCTGCCATCCCACTAGATGATTTTTCCAACTGATTTACAGTCTTATGCTTCATTTATTTAGTCATTATGAAGTCAGGGGGAGTTGCTTGTCTCTCAGCAGGTCAGTGTGAAAAGCTGTAAAGACTTCCTGCTAAGCTCCTCTAGAAGATTCCAGCATAATGTTGCATATTATCATTTTAAATGAGCTAAATGAGATTCTACTCATGGAAAATAAATAAATTCAGGCTATAGCCTATCCAAGCATTAAATAATGTCAAACTGTTTTACGCTTTTTTTTTCTAAGATGCTTTGGTCCATTTCTCAGATCAGAATTGTACTTTTCAAAACTACCTGTTCAGTCTTTAAGTCGTTGTATCACTTTTGCACATTAGAAAAGCATTTTCTCATTCCTTTGAACAAGTTGCAAATGCTTGCATGCATCCATGCAGATGATTATGCATTATTCTCTGATATTCCCTCTCTGTTGAATAGTCTCTTATATTCTGTCTCTGTTGAATAGTCTCACTGCCCACAACATTAAATCCATTGTTATAGGCATACAGTTTTTCTTGTTTGCTTTGACCTGGTTAAAGAAACTAGGTTCCACTTCAATTTCATGATCAATTTCCCCGCAGAGCAAAAGACTGGTCTTGCAAATATGTAAACCCTTTCTCATAGGGTTTACATATTTGTAAATAAACCCCCATAAACCCCCATCATTTTTCAAAACAGTTAACACGGATGTCATTCAAGCAGTCCAAACTCCATTGTTTTAGCTACAATAACCACACAGAAACCATCTATTCCTAACCATTAGAAACTACCAAGATCAGTATGAATTCACTGAAGCACCGGTTTGACACTCCTTCACACAAATCTTCACTTAGCAATCAGTCTGCAAACATTAAAAATGGTGGAAGGTCTGTGTTGTTCTGTGCTAGAATTGAAATTCTGCTTTTCTAATTGAAAGAGCTCATATACTTGTTTGCAAGTTGTTTTGTTTAAAGGTAAAACTAGCTTTTGTTGCATATTTTAATTGTTTTGACGTGATTTGTGCATTTTGCAAGCAAAATGTTTAATTTTGACCATGAGTGTCGCCGTTTAGGCCTGTGTGTTAACTGTTTGAAAATGTGGAGTTTCAGTTGATGGCTGCATCAAAGCAAACAAAAAAAACTGTAATAAGTCATAATGCATTTTTTTCTATACATTTTCATTAGACTTCTTTTTTAAAACTGTCTTCATTTGGTGACATTCTCCCAGAAGAATCTTGACTTTTTCTAACAAAAACATCTGAAAGGAGATTATATATGTTCACATTTGTACTTTTGTTTTGTTTTTTTCCTTTCTGCTATGCAGTGCTGTTTTTACCTTTCTGTATCACAATAACAAGTTCTGTCAACAAAAATTACAGTACAAATTGCAAAAAAATAAAAAATGAAATAGCCATAGTTTACATCAGAACATTCCTCCAGAATACACTGTTATATTAAAAACATGAGTAAGTAATTTGACTGTCTTATCAGTACACCTCAGGACTTGTCATTCTGACTACACTGACACATTCATTGACACAGAAATTTAGTTACTAAGGATTTTGAGCAAGAGACTGGCTTTTGCAGGTAACCCATGCTGTTTTGTTATTTGTACGCGCTGTTTTGAGCAATGCACTTACTGTTTTGCAAATTTCAATTCTTATTTGAGAAATGTACCAAATAACTGAAAAAACTGTAATAATATTTTGTCATCCCTAATTTGTAGCATATCGTAAATCAACATAAAAAAATATGATATATTACTAATATTACTTTTATTCAAACAGCTAATTCTTTTTTGACCGGAAATGACACAGACATCTCCCAAAAGATAAGACGATGTACAAGAGGCATCATTGTGAAAAAAATATTTCTCAGCTTTTATTTACATTTGAACAAAAACTTTCACTGTCATTATTTGGCCGAGTGACAGCAGTTAAAACAGTCCTTTTGTTTTCTGAAAACGCAGTTACTATTTAAAGTTATGTGCCCTCTAGTGGGCATAACAATGACAAATGGCATTGTCATGATGCAAGCTTTCATGAAATGAATCCCACTAAATGAATGCACCCACTATTTTCCTTATTTCCAGTATTTACATTTAAATTCTTGACCAGAGATGCCCAAAGGAAGGCCCGCAGGTCAAAGTTGGCGCATGGTAACCTTTGATTTGGCCCGTCATCCCATCTGAGAAGAAATTTAGAATTAAGGTTGGAGCAAATGCCTTCAACAGAGATCATCATTTCTAATTTACCATAAACTTTTGTTTGTTTGCTTGCTTGTTTGATTGTTGAGCAACAAAAAAAGTCAAATGAAATTAAAAGTCAAATGAAGTTAAAAGGCAAATGAAATTAAATGTTTTAATTAAATGTTGTGCATGATTCCATGATGCCTTGTGTAAAAAATCTGAGTGTTATATTTGCTGATGGCTTAAGATTTGATAAACAGATTAACGCAGTGGTCAAATCTTGCTTTTTTCAGCTTTGACTTTTAAAAACAGTCAAACCTATTTTATCTAGAAAAATATAGAAAAAAATATTCATGCTTTTATTTCTTTAAGATTAGACTACTGTAATGCGCTATATTTTGGGATCAGTCAGACAACTCTATCCCGCGTACAGCTATTTCAAAATGCTGCTGCAAGGCGTTTAACCGGCACTAAAAAATATGACCACATTACACCAGTTTTGCGCTCTCTGCACTGGTTGCCTGTGCACTATCGTGCCACTTTTAAAATTCTTTTCCTGGTTTTTAAATCTCTAAATGGCCTAGCTACTTCCTACCTGACAGACCTGTTGACTGAACATCAGCCTGGTCAGTCTCTTCTGTCATCTAACATGAGACTATTATACATTCCAAAGTCGAGGCTGAAATGCTTGGGTGACCGGGCTTTCGCAGTAGCTAGTCCTACTTTGTGGAATGCTCTGCCCCTCTGTATTAAGTCTATATCACCTCTGTCTGTTTTTAATCTAGGTTGAAAACTTACCTTTTTGATTTGGCATTTTATCAGTGAGAATTGTTTGTTTTTAGCTATAATAACTATCAGTTAGATTTGTTTGTTTTAGCCATAATTTTATACTTGTTCTTTGTAATTTGTATTGTTCAGCACATTGGTCAACCTTTGGTTGTGTATAATAGTGCTATATAGATAAAATTAACATTGACATTGATTAAGATCTTTAAAAATGCAAATACTGTCACTTGAAGATAGAAGACATTGACGGGCAAATCAAGGCAAAGGCTGGTGCAGCATGACTCAGCATTGAACACAATTGTGTTAAAAATGTGTTTATGTTTTTATTGTAAGAAGTTCATGATGAAATGTACAAAATTGAAGTATTTTTCTATTTATTTTTCAATATTAATAAATTAGGAAATTACCATAGCAGCTTTAATGTAATACTCTGGTATATTTACCTTTGGTCCAGCTCTTTTGGTTTTTGGCCCTTCATAAGAAAAAGTTTGGGCACCCCTGCTCTTGACAGATAAATTAGAAAATCCTGGGATCTGACCTTTGATTGTTGCAATAGTATGAAAATAATGTTTGACCAATCAAGCTGCACAAATCGCACATTTGATGAATGGGCACAATGCATTCTGTCTTCTGGAAGGGGCTATATTTTAGTACACATATTTCATATGCTAGATCATATTTCAAAAATGTGCCAAATTACCTATAGCAGTGCAGGTTTGAGAACAAACTGAAAAACCACATTAAGTATTTTTTATAGTAAATTTATAGTTAATTTCATGAGACATCATTTTTAAAGCTTGCCAAAGATTTCTAATAGTTTTTTTTTTGTCATGTTTTTCCTAAAACATTTTGATTATTTAACCAAGCATTTTTCTGCTTATCATACATTTACATGGCTAATAATAATAATAATAATAATAATTAAACATGTAGGCAGAACTATATGTGCTATAATTTTTTCCTCACTAAAATTGATGCATATTACAGCATTTGACATTTCTCAAGTTAATGTTAGCATGGAACCACTTCTTCATGTGGAAACCTTCACATTGGTTGGTTGGGAAAATGGGACTGCATAACAGAAAAAAAAGAAAAACAGACTGTGTTATAAGTTGTTAAAAGTATCCCAGTGGGCTGAATTAAGAGTCAGCTGTGAGATTATATACACTTTTTTATATTCTTTCTGTGATTAACAGGCAATCAAGCAAAACCTTCAGCAGTCAATAATCAGTGAAGGTTGAGAAGCAAATGAGGTGGAACTGCGGTCTCTGACATGTGCACGAACCCACGCGTTTTATTCTACAAGAGCTTTTCCGCTCAATGGAGAGCCCTTCACATGAGCGATTATTAAACAAACTTACACGCACCTACAGAGCTCACTTTTGGGTACCATTTGTTACACTGGTCAGCATATAACAGCCGAAAATCTTGAAACAATCAACCTGATTCACATCTAGATCTTTCCATCCCCTCTTTCCGTTCCTCTCTAATTCCTCTCCTCCCTCTAAATCACCCTTTACGCCTCTTTGCCCTCTCGATCTGTCTTCCTCTGGCTCTCATCCTCTCATTATCTCCATTTTCTGTCTGTCTGGAACACACTCACTTTTCTTGCTGAGAACACTTTGGCTTTGTGTGTCAGGAACCTCCCAAGAAAATATTTCACATTTTTATGCGGGGAAGACACTCTTCTCCTCTCTTTCTCTATCTCTGTTTATCACTCCTACCTCCTCTCTATCTTCCTTTTATTTTCACACATTTCAGTTATAAAAACGCCCCCGTGTTCCTCTAAATAGACAGTTTGTTCCCAAGAAACAAGGTCAAGCCTCCTTGGGTTTGTTTAGGCAGGCAGATTTCTTTGGCATATGACTGGTTTGCTTTTGAATGGCTGTTAATTAATAAAAGATGAATATATAATAACAAAATAATTGAAAACAACAAATAATTTGAATATTAAATTTGTTTTTACATTAAATTACTCTAAATTAAATCTAGAACTCCTAATTAATCATTGATAAATTAATTTAGTTATATTTTTGTATTGTTTTTAGATTTAATTGTTCCTAAATTAATTATTATTCATTACATATTTGTGTAGAATTAAACATTTTTAAATTAACAATATGTAACTAATTTGATTAAAAAAAATGCAATTCAAATTAATCCATCAGTTGTTTGAAATCAATTCAGTGCATTCAGTCACATCAGATTTCAAGATATTTTTCATCATATGGGACACAACAGGAATGTAATGCCACACACAAAGCGCAGTAGTGTCTACAACCATGTCTGAATTCATTCATTCATTCATTCATTTATTCTCACAAGTTGCATTCACTATGTATGGAAAGACAAGCAAGCATATGCATGAATGTTGTGCATCATCACATGATGTCAGTACCATGGCAAGATAAAACTCTATTTCATTGTTTTGTCCTGTTTTATGTCTTATTGTCATTACTATGGCAACTGATGTAGATATCCAAGATATTTCCGTCAATTAATTATTTACTATTTTCTTACCTAAACAGATCTAATCTTATCACCAATTTGAATAAAAAAAATAAAGAAAAATAAAAAGTTTCGGGGTCAGAGTCAAAACATCCCTTTCTGTACCCACATTATAACTAGCGTTTGATCATAGTAATTTTTTTTATACATGAAAATATATTAAATACAAGTCAAACGTAATTAGTGTTTCTTATTACATGGCTCTCTGGAATACTTGATTCTGATTGGTCAATCACCACTAAACTATGTTTTTCCCAGATAACAACCACTGAATAACACAGGCTCATCCGGGTACTTCAAATCATCTTGACCATTAGTGAATATATGCATATGTAACGGAGGCCAGCTAAGGAAGTGCAGTGCAAGTAAACCTCACTCCTCCTTGATAAAGCAACTGACTCCCATGCGGACGGTTGCCGGTTCAATCCCAGCTCGGAGTGGGTTGAGTGGTGTTGGACCAGCGAGGTTACATTGGTGCCGTGTCTCGAATGGGAGTGAGGTTTAGGGGGTGAGTGTAACGGAGGCCAGCTAGGTAAGTGTTGTGCAAGTAAACCTCACTCCTCTGACCTCTACAGGTGCTCTAGTGACAGACGCTAGAGGCCATGGTCTTTAGCCTCCTTGGTAGAGCAACCGACTCCCATGTGGACGGTTGCCAGTTCGATCCCACGACTGACCATTGGCGACTTGTGGAATACACCAACAAAGTATTTTAATATATCATAAAATGATTCTTGTTCTAAATATTCCTTACCAGATCTTTTTGGTATATAACCATGGAGTCAACCAGGATTGTTAAAATAGAGTTGTAAGATAGAGTTGATAGCTAACTCTATCAAGCCTCTTCAACTGCTCCAGAATGCAGCAGCACGAGTTGTCTTCAATGAACCTAAACGAACACATGTCACTCCGCTGCTAGTCCGTTTGCACTGGCTGCCAGTTGCTGCTCGCATCAAATTCAAAACTCTGATGTTTGCCTACAAAGTGACTTCTGGCCTAGCACCTTCTTATCTGCACTCACTTCTGCAGATCTATGTGCCCTCCAGAAACTTGCGTTCTGTGAATGAACGTCGCCTCGTGGTTCCATCCCAAAGAGGGAAAAAATCACTTTCGCGAACGCTCACGCTCAATCTGCCCAGTTGGTGGAATGAACTCCCTAACTGCATCAGAACAGCAGAGTCACTCGCTATTTTCAAGAAACGACTAAAAACTCAACTATTTAGTCTCCACTTCACTTCCTAATCTGCAATTGCCTCTTTGAATATCACACTAACTGTACAAAAAAAAAAAAAAAAAACTACTAACACTTCCCTTCTTAGACTTTACAGACCTGAAACTTGCCTTTAGTACTTATTCATTGTTGCTCTTAGTTGTGTAAATTGCTTCCTTGTCCTCATTTGTAAGTCGCTTTGGATAAAAGCGTCTGCTAAATGACTAAATGTAAATGTAAAAGACATAAAGCTCTGCTATTCTAGACATGCCTCTGGTGTCAACTTTTAATCACTGTAAAATATATATGATAGACATAGATTAAAATAAATGTATAAACAAAGCACATTAAGAGGTGGTATTACACATTGTTTTTTATGCTAAAAGACCTCTTTTCATCAATGACCAATGAACAAAGCATTTAAAAAATTCTACTCATTAATATGACAATATTTAAGTTCATTTGTTTAAAAATGTAAAAAAAAAATACATATGTTTACTATTATTCATCTATTAATTTTCCTTACGCTTAGTCTTTTTATTTCTCAGGGGTCGCCACAGTGAAATGAACAGCCAACATATACAGCATATGTTTTACGCAGTTGATGCCCTTCCAGCTGCAACCCAATACTGTAAAACACCCATACACTCTCACATTCACACACAAACACTATACAGCCATGTTAGTTTATTCAATTATGAGTATCTATAGCATGTCTTTGGACTGTGGGGGAAACTGGAGCACCTGGAGGAAGCCCATGTAAACACGGGGAGAATATGCACAGAACTCCACACAGAAATGCCAACTGGTCCAGCCAGGACTCCAACCAGCGACCTTCTTGCTGTGATGCGACAGTGCTAACCACTGAGCCACCGTGCCACCCAGTTTAATATCATGTTCAACTATAAAAATATGTGTGTTTGTCTGTAAATGTCTTACCCTAACCCCAGCTGCCTGCAGACCACCTCAGCGTCGTTATCATCCCATTGGTCATCACAAACTGTGCCCCACTGTCCTGCATGATACACCTCTACTCTGCCCTCATATGCCGATGGACCACCAGATAGCCGCACTGGGACAAACACTGAAGCTAAACAAACACACAGGTTATTTTCTCTTTTTTATTAGGGATTGTGATTGTGTTTAAATGTATGTAAATGTTAAAGTATACATACTCTCCACCGGCATGCAAGAAACAGCAGCCGCTTGGCGATTCTCACACTCTCCCCCGTTCCAGACGGTGCGATTGCATTGCAGTAAGTCATCTTCCTGTCCTTCACAGCCCACAGTCTGCCAGTGAACTACAGACACCACCAGACGTGACAGAGGACTCATGCGTGCATGTGCTCTATAGCTGAGACAACAAGAGAGAGAGAGACGAACAGTAATGTCATTTTTGTGACAGTTCTTTCCAAAGCTGCACAACATAGGTAACCATGAAACCAGCTGTAAGGGTTAGTTTTTTGAATTTGAGGTTTAAACACCATGAAAGCAGAATAAATAAACGAAAGCGGTTTGTTAGGATAGGACAATGGCTCAGACACAGCTATTTGAAAATCTATAATCTGATGATTTAAAAAATTCAACACAATAAGAAAATCCTTTACCAGGTGTAAAGTTTACAGACTTCTTAGCAAAGGATTACTAATCCAAAATTACATATGATATTTACAGGAAAAAAATTATAAAAAGGTCTTAACGGAAGATGATCTTTACTTAATATGAGGAGTTCAGATGCAAAAACTTCTAAATGCCATCAGACGTTTTCTCCTAAAAATAGCATTTTTCTCAGCCTCCTTTGTTTATGTTCAAGTATTTCCCTTTAAAGGCAATGAAAAGAAGTTATTCATTACTATAAAGGAAATATTTCTGAGCCTACACACAAGAGTCTGAGAAAATTGCTAATTTTAGAAGAAATTATCAAACGGCATTTAGAGGTTTTTGCATCTAAACTCTTCATATCCTAATTACTTTTTAGCACAAAAGATACGATTAAGGTATTTTACTGTGTTTAAACTGTGTTGTGTACCGCGTTTAAAGCATTCAGGTGCAAAACACAACTAAGATTTGTAGCTTCATCAAACTCGTACTTCAATAATACAGCGAAGAGTCTATGCAGGGTTATTTTGTATTTGATTATTCAGTTTCTATTTCTAAACTGTTAGACTTCACTGAAAAATCTGTTGTATTTATCTGTGCTTGTAATTTGTTTTATGCTTATGCTTATGCTTTGTTTACAAAATCACCCCAGCCCCTAAAAGAATATGAATTCTTTCGTAATAGAGCAATTTAAGTCATCAAGTGAAATAGTTTTTATCTCAGTACATATTGCAGAAAATCAAAAAACTGAAATGTAAGTTTTTTTCCCAAATTGTGTTGCAATAGTTTCCTTTACTTTAATCTATTCAGTTATGCAGTCATGACCCTGCATGGAATTGAAAAAGATGCAAAGAAACATGTGAGGTACCATTTCTGTGAACTTCATCTTGTTTTTTTAGTACACCAAAGCAGTACATACCATACTGTATATACCATACTGTATACAGTCCTGGAAATAATTTCTGCACTTTCTTACTCATGATAGTAATAAAAAGGAGCTGTCTGACGAAGATGTCAACTGAGCAATTACAATTACTTTATTACAGTTAATCACAGTAATATTCGGATAATTACAGTAATCACAAACTAGCCAATCGGATCATGCCAAATTTAATATAAATATCCAGCCTAAACTTAATTCCTCATCGTCGTTTTGGAATTATACTGAACACCCTTAAGACATGCAGCAAACTAATTGGAAGCATTAAAAGCGACCAAGAAGATACTTGCAATGATCCAGAGACTGTTTAGGCTGAATGTCACAGATAGAATGACAAATGTTTGCTGTATGATGACTGAAATGGCCTTAAACAGTCACTAACTGCACTACAGAATGATAAGTTTACACACACGCACGCACACACACACACAAATTACATGTAAACGCAATATCCATTCCTAGCATAATACTCACTACTCTTGAGTAGCCATTTTAAAAGGGCTACTTTTCACTCATACTTTGAGTAAAATTTAAAACAGATACTTTTACTCTACTTGCACTATATATGTTTGCCCAAGCAATGGTACCTTTACTTGAATAGGATTTTTCAGTACTCTTTTCCACCACTGATAATTACACACAATTAAGTTATTGTATGTACAGTTTTTAAATTGACCAAGGCATTCTCACCAATGCTACTTTTTTATCAATATCACACAATCCTGCAGAAATAAAATCCTAACATACTAATTTAATGCTTTATAAACATTATTTATCAGTGTTGAAACTAATATTTTTTTTGTAGAAACCATGACATCATGACACACTGCTTAATGAATAGAAAGTAAAAAGTAACAGTTTATACTGAACACAAATCATTCATGTATTGTAAATACCGTTCATCAATGTGATACATCCTTATTTAATTTCTTTCTTTCGAAAACCTGAATGACTCCAAACTTTTGAATTATAGTGTGAAACTTAGCATCTTACAGATTTTTTAAAGTTTTATTTGTAAAGCATTAAAGGGTTAGTTCACCCAAAAATGAAAATTCTATTATTATTACTCATGTCGTTCCAATTCCTTGAGACCTTCATTCATCTACAGAACACAAATTACAATATTTTAAATGTAATCTGAGAGCTTTCTCGTCCTCCAAAGGGAGCAAATAATGAGAGAACTCTCAGATTTCATATTAATTTCAACATGAGATTGAGTAATTAATAACAGAAATGTTGTGTGGCATAATCGGTTAATGCTTTTATTCATGAAATAAGAGAACAACTTGCGATGGAAGGAAATAAAACGCCAGAAGACTTACTTATTAAAGCTTATTGGCCTTGATGCAGACAAGAAAGTGGCATTAGTCAAACTGAATAAATATTGAAACTGTTGTTAAGGTGATACGTCTAAATTTGCACAGCTTTTACTACATTAGTTGGGTATGAATAAAAAAAAATGCTTGTGGCAAACAGAAAGATAGCAAACATAAATCAAAGTGCATGGAGTCAATCTGTCTCTCTAGCTTTTAAATAATTCAGATCAATTCATCTAGTAAAGCAGAGACACCCAATGAATTATTCAGACTTGACAAATGGCTAAGCAACTGAGGTCAACTGATGACAACTCTGCACATGCGTATGCATCCGCTTGTGTTTTATTGGTAAAATAATACTTTTTGTCAGACTTATAACTGTCACTATTGTGTCATCTGATCTTTGAGACCCTGCGGTCACCTCTGTCTGAGCACGCTCGATAATGACCTCAGACAAACACTCTCAAATAGGCATGTGTGTCAACGTGATACACACAAACCATATGGGTGTGTTCAAGACAGAGATTAGAAGTATCCAGGGAAATCTGTGATCTTTTCAAACGCCTTTTCCGATAGACAACTCACTAAGCATATGCCAAGTTGTATAGGTGAAAGACTGACCTCTGACCTTTGGCTTACTAGGGTCAAATACCAAAGGATTCCATGCACAACCTTACAAAGGTTGTTTTGTGGTTAGGTAACAAATGAACGGGCAGCATATGGTCATCAGAACACAGTGATTATCACTTTCATAGGCCCAGTTGTGGCACCAATGACATGTGGCTTCAAAATCTGACTACAACCGCTAGTGGTGTCTTTTACATATGTCTCTTTGCACATCCCATGCTGTGATGGCCATATTATATTTATTTCAGCAAAACATCATATGTCTTGTTTGGGTAAAACTTTACTTTAAGAGTTAGGGTTAGGGTATGTCTTAGTTTCACTTTTTCCATATAATTACTGTAGTAATTATTATTAATTATACATACGTACAGTTTACGTCAGAATTATTAGCCCACCTTAATTATTAGCCCCCTGTTTATTTTTTCTGTTTAACAGAGAGCAGATTTTTTAGCACATTTCTAAGCATAATAGTTTTAATAACTCATTTCTAATAACTGATTTCTTTTGTCTTTGCTATGATGAGAGTAAATGATATTTGACTAGATACTTTTCAAGACACTTCTATACAGCTTAAAGTGACATTTAAATGCTTAACTAGGTTAATTAGGCTAACTGGGCAGGATAGTGTAATTAGGCAAGTTATTGGATAAGGATGGTTTGTTCTGTAGATTATCAAATAAAAAATTGCCTAGGGGCTAATAATTTTGTCCTTAAAATGGTGTTTAAATAATAAAAACTGCTTTTATCCTGGTAAAAAAAAAAAACAGAACTTCTTTTTCCAGAAGAAAAAAAAATATTATTAGACATACTGTGAAGATTTCCTAAATCTGTTAAACATAATTTGGAAAATATTTAAAAAAGAAAAAAAAATCAAAGAGGGGCTAATAATACTGACTTCAACTGTTCTTGCAATTAACACCTTTAATTAGACAGGACCTCGATATTAGTTCAGTGCCATCCAGTTCCTATAATTGTATTTTGCTATTTTAACTATTTAAAAAGAAATAGCTCTTTTTGTGGTTTTTGCAGTAGAGAAAAAGTCTTGGAACGTGACTTTATGACAATATCCAATATCTGTCAATGCACTCAAATAAATCTAACAGAAAGATTATTTTCATTCTATTGTCAAATAAAGTATTTGCATCACATACAAATGCAATATTTATGAATGTTTAGATATTAGTATTGGAAAAAATCACTGAGAAAATATTCATTTGCACTGCAACATTCAATGCCATGACTGAATTTAGGATTTGAAACCATGTAAGATTTCCAATTTTAAAACCTGCTGTTACTTTGGATCAGTGATGGGAATAACGGGGTTATACATAAGTGGCGTTACTAATTGTGATACTTTTTTCAGTAACGAGTAATCAACTGAATTACTGTTTTCCCTGTTACTAGTTGCATTACCATTACTGGCAATAAAAAATGAAAATGAAGCACCTCACGATGTCTCATGCTGCAAGAAAACTAGTGGCTACGCAGGTGTTTACGTGAGCTCGGAGAAGGAGACAAAGCCATGACGTCAAAGCAAATGAAATTGAATTTTTCTCCACTGCAAACACTTAAACACAGAATTAAACACAATAATATCTAGTTTTGTAGTTAAGGACATGCTGCCGTTGTAGCTCACAATGTCCTACAACAACATTAAAATAGTGTAGATTAGTGTACAATGTTTTATACTAATTCTATAGTCATTTGGCAAACTAGAAGTAACAAGTTTCTCTTGTAATTAGTTACTTTTATAATTATGTAACTCAGTTACTAACTAAGTTACTATTTATGAGAAATAACTACTGTAGCAACTATACCTAATTACCCTTTTAAAGGAACAGGTCCAACACAGGTCAAACAAAGGTGCATTTT